GCTCTGCCTGCTTGGCAGAGGGCTTGGTCACCTGTGGATGAGTTGAAGGGGTGGGTGAAATTCTGGTCTGCACTGGGTAGTCTCTGTCTGTCTTAGCCAAGTCCCAGAAGGGGGTTGTGAGGTGAGGCTGTGTCTTCCTAGATGCCTAGACCAAAGCTGATGGAAAGCCGTGGCTTGCTCTCTGGTATGTGCTCTCTCCTCTCACCCAATCTTCTTGGTTCCAGAAAGAGAGCTGCTCACTTTCTGGGCTCCCCTCCCTAAGATAGTCTTTCCAACCCAAGCTATCAGGTGCCCGAATTTCCACCATGGTAACTGTACCATTGGGGTGTGCCTTGCCCTCTAAGTTTCATTTGAGATCCAATCCCTGGGCTGGACAAGGCAGCCCCTGGTGCACCCGAGGCTCCCTGAGATCTCAAGATAGCAGATGCCTCCATGGGGACAGCTCTGAGGGGCTATCTTCAAAGGAATTGTATGGAGTCCTTTACATCTTGCCAAGAGCTTCTGGCCCTTGGAAAGGGTGCAGTACAATCCCATGCTGGGGCCCTGGCTTCTTCACAGAGGACCTCCCTGCCCAGGACACCTGCCTGGAACCAAGGCTGTGGGGGGAGGCAGTGACTTCTCATGAGGGCTGGAGCCTAGCTGTGCTCACCTGCCTGCTGGGACCAGGACTGGACTGTCTCCGAAGTTGGCTCTGACCTTGGCTGGGCCGCTGTGACCGTCCCTCATCCAGAACACGGAAGGCCCCCGATGCCTCTGACTTCCTATAAGTAAATGTAGCTATTCCAGAGGGTCTTTGGGACTCCATCCCAGCACTCAGCATTCCCAGCCCACCCCTGAGAAGAGACTCGTTGAAAGCCCAAAGCGATGATGATTCTCTCAGGGCCTCAGTTTCCCCTTCTGGAAAATGGGGACAGTCAGAACCATCTAATCTGACTCCTAAGATCACGAAGAAGACACAGGAGAGTGAAGGCAGAGGATGGGGAGTGGGCAGCTCTTGACCATGGGTCCCTTGGGCCTCATCCAGCACTTCCTATTACCTACCAGCTACTCCTGACAAAGATTAGACTGGTCCTTGTGGGAATTCAGATTTATTGAGCATCTATTGTGTACCAGGCACTGAGCAAAAAATAATCACAATGTTTAAGAAAATATTTATTGAGCACTTCCCATGTTCTATATGCCAAGTGTTTGTGTGCTGGGTCCCACTTAACTTTGCATAACCTACTTTGGGGACAAGAGAATTTTAGGTGCCTCATTCTCTCATTCTTTCTGCCATTTCCCCATCCATATACAAACTGAGGATTTCTCAAGCCAGCTGCATTTTGTGTTCCCCTTGGAGCTAATAGAACTCCAGCACTCAGCTCTGAAAACTCTGGACCCTTCTAGTCATGGGTGAAAGAGCTCCTAGCCAGGTGGCCGCACAGAGACATTCTCTCCAACCCGACAATTCCAAAAGGGTCACTAGCAAATATCACCATACCCAACAGAGATCACCTTCAGCCTGTGTCAAAATCTTTTGGTTCCAGATATGCGTATGGGTTAACAATGAGTGGCCATGGTCATATTCAACATAGTGTCACTGTTTCAAAGCTACAGTCTGCCCCTCTCCTAGTAACAGACAAAATCTCAGCCTCCATGAACAGATAGCTCCTGTGGGGTCTGACTATTAGATTTCAGCTAAACTGGTCATGGAAAGAGGGATGTGGGAGACCCAGCACAGCAAAAAGAAGTAAACACATGAATTGAAGGAGAGGTGCTGTCAGCGAGCCCAGGGTGAGTCCCCAAAGGAGACAAGAGGGGGGCTGTCTCTCTAAAGTCTGCCCACAGCTGAAGAACCACACAGAACATTGCAGAGGTTTGCAGAAGGAATGGACCGTGGGTAGTGATGACACCTGGGTCCTAGTGCTCAGGAGATGGGGCAAGGAGACCAGGTGTTCAAGGGCATCACTGGCTACATGGAGAGTTGGAAACTAGCCTAGGCTACATGAGACCCTGTCTCAAATCAACTGAAAATGTGGTATCAGCCTTTGCTGTGGTCCTGTGGCCTTTGCTGATGTCATTAGAATTAGATGTGGGGACTGGAGAGGTTAAGAGCACTGGCTGCTCTTCCAGAGGTCCTGAGTTCAATTCCCGGCAACCACATGGTGGCTCACAACCATCTATAATGCGATCTTGTGCCCTCTTCTGGCATGTAGGCATACACGCAGGCAGAACACTGTATACATAATAAATAAATCTTTAAAAAAAGTATTAGATCTGGAAGCTGTTGGAGTCCTTAGCAGTCCTAAGGTCTCTGGATTCTAAGCTTGAGGGCTCCATGATGAGGCTCCATTCCCCGCTCCCCAGACAGGGTTTTTTTGTGTAGTACTAGCCACCCTGGAACTTGTTCTGTAGACCAGGCAGTCCTTGAACTCAGAGATCTGCTTGCCTCTGCCTCCCCAATGCTGGAATTAAAGGCGTGTGCCACCACTGCACCAGTATTTCTTTTCTTTTCTTTTTGGTTTTTCAAGACAGGGTTTCTCTGTGTAGCTTTGGAGGCTGTCCTGGAACTAGCTTTTGTAGACCAGGCTGGTGTCGAACTCACAGGTGACCAAGGAAATGCATTTCCTCTGGATACTCAGATGGGTATATGGACCCCCAAATGGTGTCAAAGAAGCAATAGGGAAGGATGACACACACCTTTAATCCCAGCAGTGGGAGACAGAGGCAGGTGGATCTCTATGAGTTCCAGGCTAGCCTGGTCTACAGAGCTAGTTCCAGGTCAACTGGGGCTACATAGTGAGACCCTCTTTAAAAAAAAAGAAAAAAGAAAAAAGAAAAAACAAAGGCACTGTGTTTAGCAGATCCAAGAAAGAATGTTTCAGAATTTAGGTATGGGGGATGGGGGAAACTGTAGAGTTCCCACAATAGGGGATGGCTAAAACACCAGCCAAATGCCTAAGTCTTTGACATGATCCTTCTAGGAAAATATTCCAGGCTCAGAACAATGCTTAGGCAAAGTAGATGCTCAATAAATATGTCAGAAGAGTAAATGAGAGACAATGAAAATGCAACCTGGCACACCCCCATCCCCCAGTCTCATAAATGCTTCATTTTATACAAATGCATGCTATTTTCAGAGGGCAAATGGCATTCCACCTGGAAATAGGGAAAATACCCTATACTAGGATGGGGAGTAGAGTGAACAGAAGCAACTATGTGAGCCCTGTGCGGTGGGGCATACCCCATATCTCAGCACTCAGGAACCTGGAACAGGAGGACCAAGGCCAACCTGGGCCACCCTATTTCACAAATGAGTGACTGCAAGAGAGAATATTTATGAACAAAGTTATTTGTGAGTTCTGTTGGAGAGCCAGCCCAGCAGGATGCTACACTCCTGAATACCTAGCACTTGGGAGAGGAAGGCAGGAAGATCTGCAGTTCAAGGTCATCCTCAGCTACACAGTGACCAGTTCCAACCTGGGCTGCAAAGAGGCCCCGTCTCAAATCCCCAAAGTGGTTTTCCTTTTTTTAAGGACCAAAGAAAGAAATATGCTAGTGTAAGGGTCAAAGAAGTTTCTCTCTTGGCTAGTAAATGGAGCCAGTTTACAGGAATGAGCATTTGAATAAGAAATAAGACTTCTCACTGTGCACACTTTTAGTCCCAACAAGGAGGCAAAGGTAGGTGGATTTCTGTGATCCAGGCCAGCATGGTCTACAGTGAGTTCCAGGACAGCCAGAGGTGTTATACAGAGAAATCTTGCCTTGAAAAAACAAAAAGAAAGAAAGAAAGGGAGGGGAAGAGAGGAAGAAAGAAAGAAGACTTCTCATTCAAATTCAGATCGTATAGAAATGTTGCCTGTGCCTCAGGGGCAGTGAAGAGGAGAATCTTATGTTGGCGGCAGTGGTGGCGCATGCCCTTAACCCCAGCACTTGGGAGGCAGAAGCAGGCAGATTTGTGGGTTTGAGGGCAGTCTGGTCTACAGAGCTAGTTACAGACAGCCAAGGCTACACAGAAACCCCGTCTTGAAAAACTAAAAGAAAAAAAAGTGAGGCAGGGAGTTGAAATGCTCTAGAATTATGTCACAGTGGGGCTGTCCCACTCAGTCAGATTCTAAAATTCACCAGGTAATACAGGGAAAATTTCCAGATTTCTAGACACTCCTCCCTCCAGTTCTCTTGTCTCTAGTGGAACTGCATCTCTAAAAACCCAGGGGCTAGCTCTGCTGAGGAGAGAAATCCCAGCCAGAGCAGGAGGGGATGTTTCCCCTCTCCCATGTGACATGTTACTGGTTCCTTAGGACATTCACAGGACACTAGGAATTGGACTCTGTGGCCATGAGCCAGGGAAGTAATGCCTAACTTCTGAAAGTCTGTGTCTCTGGGGACTCTTATGGAAAGGGCTGGGATGAGAGCAGAGTATTTCCTTGGCAGGTGCACGTCTTGGGATCCATCCCTAGCACCCAGAGGAATAAAACCCAGGGCATTTATCTATTTAGCTCTGTGGCTCAAAGCCAGGGCCTGTGTGTACTGCTAATCATTCCACCGCTGAGCTATCCCCAGCCTCTGGGCATATATGTAAAACAAGCATGTCCGCCTTCCTGCAATGTACAGGGAAAGAGTCATGGGTATAGGAAGAAACGTTACTCAGTATCAAACCATTCAAGAGTTCAGCCTCATTGAAATCAATGTGCTTTTGATCTCCCCCATTTGACAGGCGAAGAAACTTAGGACCAAGGAGATTAAATTGCTTTAAGCAGGTGTCACAGGATACAGGGTAGCTTTGACCCCAGATTTGAACTTAGCCTGCCAGACATCAGGTTTGTTTTTTGTTTTGTTTCATTTTTACTCTACTTGGTTATCCATAGTGTTACTTCAACCTCAGAAATGAACGTCCTAATATACAATGAGATACAGTGGCTTGCCCAAGACCACACAGCCAGTGAGCAGCAGGGCTTTAACTCTTGCTTCTAGAACTTTCCAACTGTTCTCCGCCCCAGCCCACCTGACTGCCCCTGCCCTGGCTCACCTGCGCTCTTGCCCGAAGAGGCGCTCCACCTCTGCCCGGCCAGGGCTGCGGGTATGGCCCTCGTTGCTGCCCTGTGCTTGGGGCTCTGGCCCCCTCTGGGCCAGCCTCCTGGGTGGGGGCAGGTCAGCCAGCATGGTGTACTCCTCCCTCTCCAAGTTGTGTCTGGTTTCCCCTGGGGGTGCTGAGCCCCGAGAGCCTGAGCTACCTGGGGGAGGGGAAGGGGCCAGGAGACCTAAATCACAGGATAGATGGCGGGGAGGAGAGGAGGCTCTGGGTGCATCCCGATGGCCGATGCATACTTGAGGGGGCAGCAGTGGGGAGCCATGCAGAGAGTCAATGGAAGGGGCAAGACTCTCCATACTGGCCCCAGGAGGATCCTGGAAAAAGAGGGAAGGCTCAGGGGCCTGGCGTGGTGGGGAAGAGAAGGAGGGAGCATCTCTGTGCCCGATACACACAGGAGTGGGGATGTGGGGAGGCTCACGCAGAGAGTCAGTGGAAGGGACAAGGCTCTCTGTGCTGGCCCGGGGGAGATCCTGGAAGAAGGAGGGCTCTGGAAACTGGCGTGGTGGGGAAGACGCCCTGGGGGCATCGCGGTACCCAATGCACACTGGTGGGGGAAACTGTGGGGGATCATGTTGGGGGGACTCGTTCTCAGCATCTGATGTATCTGGGAGGAAGGGAAAGGGATCAAACTGGGTATGACGAGGTGGTGAAGTGGCCCGGGGGGCATCACGGTGCCCAATGCACACTACAGGTGGCATGTAGGGGGGTTCGTGGTGGGGTGATTCGCTCTCAGACGAACGGGGATCTGGAAAAAAGGGGAAAGGGTCGTACTGAAAATATCGGGGGGGTGAAGAGGCGCGAGGTGCATCCCTGTGTCCAATGCACACAGCACATGATGGCTGGGGGGGCTCTGAAGATGTCTGGGAAACCCCTCGTGGTGCTGGGTGCAGAGGCGATGAAGTCCGAGAGGCACTGGGACAACCTGGATTATGAGAGGAGGAAGAGGCCACAGATGACGAAGAGTGATGTGGAGGGTCGTGATGGGCTAGTTTGGTAGGAGTTGAGGTCTGAGGCCTCTCCCCTTGGGTTGGCCGGAGAGAAATGGATGCCCAAGGCACCTGGTTTTGTTTGGTGCGAGATGGAGATGAGGTTCGAGGACCATCACTCTGGGTTGGCCGAAGGGTAAAGGAGGCCCAAGGGATATCTTTGTTGGTACGGTGGGGAGAAGGGTTCCTGGAACTACTCCCCTGAGTGGCATGGCGGGGAGATGATGGTCCTGGGTTGTCCTTTTGGGTGCAGCCTTGAGTGAAAGCCCTGGGGTGGTCTTGTTGAAAGGAAGATGGTGGTCCTGGGTTGCTTCGTTGGGTGCAGGCGCTTCGGAGATGTTCCCATCTGCTGCAGGAGGCTGTGGTCTTGTCTCCTTGGGTAGAAGGGGTCCTGGGGGTGTTCTGTAGTATGCAGGAAATTCCGGGGTTGTCCTTCTGGGTAGTTCTATTGGGAGAGGAGCTCCTGGGGTTGTCCCTCTGGGCACAGGGAGTCCTGGGGTTGTCCCTCTGGGTGGTTCTGTTGGGAGAGGAGCTCCTGGGGTTGTCCCTCTGGGCACAGGGAGTCCTGGGGTTGTCCCTCTGGGTGGTTCTGTTGGGAGAGGAGCTCCTGGGGTTGTCCCTCTGGGCACAGGGAGTCCTGGGGTTGTCCCTCTGGGTGGTTCTGTTGGGAGAGGAGCTCCTGGGGTTGTCCCTCTGGGCACAGGGAGTCCTGGGGTTGTCCCTCTGGGTGGTTCTGTTGGGAGAGGAGCTCCTGGGGTTGTCCCTCTGGGCACAGGGAGTCCTGGGGTTGTCCCTCTGGGTGGTTCTGTTGGGAGAGGAGCTCCTGGGGTTGTCCCTCTGGGCACAGGGAGTCCTGGGGTTGTCCCTCTGGGTGGTTCTGTTGGGAGAGGAGCTCCTGGGGTTGTCCCTCTGGGTACAGGGAGTCCTGGGGTTGTTCCTCTGGGTGGTTCTGTTGGGAGAGGAGCTCCTGGGGTTGTCCCTCTGGGCACAGGGAATCCTGGGGTTGTCCCTCTGGGTGGTTCTGTTGGAAGAGGAGGCTTGGACACAAGGAGATGATGCAATGCGGGGGTCATTTTGTGGTATACAGGTCTTGAGGCTATCTTGAATGACTCTGTGGGGAGAGGAAAGTGGAGTGCTGCTTCGCTGGGTGGACATGGTCTTAGGAGTGTCCCTCTGGGAAACTCTTGAAGGAGAGGACTTTCTGGGGCTACTTCGCTGTGTGGCTAAGGTCCTGGGAGTGTCCCTTTGGGTGTTTTGGGATATAGAGGAAGCATGGGAGGTTTCTTGTGCAGAAGCATCATTGAAAACACCCCTTTGAACAGAAGAAGCCTGGGTGGTGTTCCGAGGTCCAGTTGGTGGTACCCTGGAGGAAGCCTGGGTTTGTCCTGAGTGATGTCGTTCCAAGGAGAAGTAACCACTTTCTGCTCGCAGCTTTGTCCAGTGCTGGGCAGCACTCTGTCCACCACTGCCAGAATCTGGAGAGAAATGAGGATATTTAAAGTGAGGAGAGGGAAAAATCATAGCATCCCCTGAGCCTTCTAATAGGTTTCAGTGTCTAATCAGAGGCGGGCACTTCCCGATCAGGCTGAGACAGGCTTAGGCACCGTCTGCTGCCAGGCCAGGGCTTTGCAATGACTGGTGGAGTGGTACCAGAGTGAGAAGGTCATGGGTATGTCCAAAAAGATCAATGCTATGGAGCACAGAGAGGGGGAAGGTGGACCAGGTGCAGCTAATTTCTACTCTCTGGGTGGAATGCCCACAAATCATCCCAACATCTAAGAAACCCCTTTCATGGGTGCCAGGGCATGGTGCCCATGCCTATACCTACACCTGAAGACTCTTCTTACCCTTCCTGCCCCAGAGGCTCATCTCAGGCTCTGGGAATGTGCACAGATAGGGCAGCTATTGCTGAATGGGCACATGTATATCTGCACAGAGCAGAATCAGCACCTAACCAGATTACAGCATGTGACAGTTAATGTTGTTAACAGGATATACTCACCCAGGGGACATGTCTGTGAGGGGTTTCTAAACTGGGTTAATTGAAGAAGGCCTAGTTGAAATGTGGGCAGCATTATCCCTTGTGCTGGGGTTCCAGAGTGAATAAGAGGGAGAAAGCAAGCAAGGACCAGTGAGACAGCTCAGCAGGTGAGTGTGCTTTTGGCTGAGCCTGATGATGTGAGTCTGAGCTCAGGATCTGTGTGTTGGAGAAAACTGACTCCCAGAGGTTGTCTTCTGATCTGCATACAAGCTCCTCGGCACATGTGCACATGCATGTATGTAAACTCTCTCTCTCTCTCTCTCTCTCTCTCTCTCTCTCTCTCACACACACACACACACACACACACACACACACGAATAAATAAGTGAATTTTAAGAAAGAGTGAACACATGGGGCAGGGGAGGCTGATTGGGTACCAGCAGTCATCTAGATGAGTGTTTCTCAACCTGTGGGTCACAACCCCTAGAGGGCATCACCAAGATTATAGGAAAACACAGATATATACATTATGACTCATAACAGTAGCAGAATTGCAGTTACAAAGTGGGGTCACTGCATGATGAACTATATTGAAGGGTCACAGTGTTAGGAAGGTACTTCCTGACTGCAAACCCACTGTGACCAGCCATCACACTCCTGCCTGCCATCATGCCTCCCCCGCCATGTTAGACAGTCGCCTTCTTCCCTCCTTCAATTTCTTTTGTTGGGTATAAAGTAACTAACTCTTTGGGCACCTCAAGGGTATCTCAGGGGTGCTGGGCTCAGGGATAAAAGAGCTGCCCTAAACAGTGACTATGTCACAGCTCTTGGCTGTCATGAACTTGGGGTCTACCTCTACCCTTTTCAGTCCCTTAACCACCGTCCCTCCTCTTGAAGTAGCAAGCTGTGGCTGCCTTCATGAGGACACACTTTCTTTCACATACAACCCTATGGGTTGCTACACTGGAAGCTGGTGTCCCTGAAGTCTGAACTCTCAGAACTGAAGTGGCCCTGGGGACCCCTAAAATGTCCTCTAAATCTACCTGCTTCTGTCATTCCCAGCCCCCACTCAAGGTCACTGACATTTTTGCCCTCTCCCACAGCATGAGTGCACTTTGTCCAGATCATTGTCCCTGATCATAACTGTTGAGCAGAAGGCAGATAAGGAAGGAATGGCCAGGAAACTGCCATTAGAGGAAGGACCAGAGGAGACCAGATGACAATGCAGTGAGAGACCCTGCCTTATGCCCCAGCAAAGAGTTTGGTACTGATGGCGACTGCAACCTTAGCACTAACCTGAGAGATGGAGGATTGTCACAAAGTTGAGGCTACCCAAGGCTCCAGAGTTTGAAGCCAGCCAGAGCTACATAACAAGATCCTATGAGAGACAAACTAAACCAAAGGGAACATAGACAGAAAAGCAGTGAATTTGATTAATCTATAGTTTCCAGTTGTGTTGATACTCTTTTTTGTTCCTGGGGCTGAAGCCTAAGGTCTCACACTGCTAGGCAAGTGCTGAGACACATCCCAGCTCTGACCAATGTCTATTTATTTATCTGTTTATTTATTTTGAATTTTTGAGACAGGGTTGCTCTGTGAACAGCCCTGGCTGTCCTGGAACTTGCTTTGTTGACTAGGCTGGCCTCTAACTCACAGAGTGCTGGAATAATGTTAGTTTCTTAACTCCAGCCTCTGTGTGTGAAACTAACATAAGGAAACCTGGGCAAAGGGTTCAATAGACACTACAGCTGCCATCTTGGCAAATCTAAGATTATTTCAAAATTAAAAGAAAGATAATACTCTCTAGGGGCTTCCTGATGGATTTTGCAAGGATTGTCTCACTCCCCATTCTACCCTCACCCACTTGCCAGGGTCAGCACCTACTCTTTGAGATCCTCTAACAATATAGGAGCCTCACCACCCAGGGCCATTGCTCTTGCTGGTTTCTCTGTCTGAAATGGACAGTGTCCTTCTGGTACTTACATTTCCTGGCCATGGGCTGCCTTCCATGTACCTTCTTCATGCCTAGTGCCTTGATTACCTGCTCTTCCCCTAGCAGTTCTGTGCAATAGGGCCTTGTATTCCCATGGTGCCTCTGGAACTTGGCAGAGGTGTGCAGCACACACAATGCTCCCACCTATGGTTCTGTTTCTGCCTTGCCTGCAGTGGCCTTACCATTTGTGCCATAGGAGCCTGGCTCTCACAAGATGAGGCTTCCATGCAAGACAGGTACTCAGCTGTGCTTGGGCCACCTATGTCCTGCACCCCCAGGGAGCAGTGCCGACTGGGATGAGCCTAGGGGAGGCTCAGTCCCTGGATGCAATGTTGCAAGTGGCCACCAGGTGGCCAGAGGCCACAGATTCTGGCTTAAGTAGGTCACAGATGAGGATACCACCCATAGTCCAGGGGCTTTCAACAGCAAGAAAGCAAAGCCTGGCTGTGTGGGGTTCTCTATAATCCCAGCACGGAGAAGGCGGAGGCAGGAGGATCAGGAATTCCAGAGCAGCCTCAGTTATACAGAATCCAAAGCTCACTTGAACCAGGATCACAGACAGGTACCCGCCACCACCCCCATACCCAGCCGAGCATTTTAGTTAGCATCAGGATTTGAAAGGAAAGTGATTGGTGTTATGTGCTATCCTGTCTCCAGGCAGCACATGGGGACACTGAATGGCCTCTTGACTGCTGCAGCATCTGCAAAGCTCCCCTGAGGAACACTGTGAGTGGGTACCCTGATCATCCAGTTGATGGGAAACTTTTCATCCTGGGATTCAGTGTCAGCATCAGCTAAACCAGGTGTTACTAGGTGGCTCAGCTGACTTATATTCTCCTGCTCCAATGCATTCTGACTTCACACCCAAACCATGCTTAAGAGGAAAGTGCCCCATCTCCTTGGCAAGGCTGAAGAGGCCCAGCACAACTTACCCCCATTGTGTACCCCATCCACATTTAAACTGCAGCTGCTAACTGGCCACATAGTCCTGTCTCCCCTGACCTGCTCTCCTCCATCCAAACAGCCCTCTCCTGGGCCAGCCCTGTACCATCTTTGGTGGCTTGAATAAAAACGACCCTCCATAGCTGGACAGTTGTGGTGCATGTCTTTAATCCCAAAACTCAAAATGCAGAAGCAGATGAATCTCTGAGTTCAAGGATAGCCTAGTCTAAGAGGGAGTTCCAGGACAGCCTAGGCTACACAGAGAAACCTAGTCTTGAAAAAAAAAAAAAAAAAAAAAAAAAAAAGCAAAGGGCTGGAGAGAGAGATGGCTCAGAGGTTAAGAGCACTGAGTGCTCTTCCAGAGCACTGAGTTCAATTCCCAGCAACCACATGGTGGCTCACAACCAACTATAATAAGATTTGGTGCCCCATTCTGGCCTGCAGGGATACATGCAGGCAGAATGTTGTATTCATAATAAACAAATAAGTCTTTTTTAAGGAAGAAAAGAAAAACAAAACAAAAGACCCCATCCCTTCTCTCATGCCTATGTCTGCTCCTCCTCTGTCCTGTCTGTCCTGTCTGTCCTGTCTGTCTGCTTCGCAAGGTGCTGATCTCTGTAAGGCAAGGGTCATTGCTAACTCTCCCTGAGACCTCAGGGCATCTTCACCCAAACTTCACCCAAACACATGAAGATTGATGAGACTCCTGTAAGGCCCATGGGAAGCCAGGACTGCCATCAGGAAGGACAAGGGCATTCTGGCGTCCTGATCACACTGAAAGAGAAATCAGGGCCAGAATTGCGTGCCCACCATACTGAACTCACGTCCAAGCAAGATGTTGGCCAGTCTCACCAACCTCCATGGACTTGGCATAACAGTAGCCCCTCACCCATCTCTCTGTCTTTCTCTTTTTCTCTTTCTCAGAACAGCACCCTGACTTCCTCTGGGTACTCTCCCCTCCACCTAGCTCAGGCCATGAGGTTTGCATAGGAGGCCAGACAGTGATCAAGATGACCCCAGTGGTCCCTGTGATAACCCTTCCTGAGACTTAACTGTAGTCACAGGACAGATGTGCCCTTCACAGGACAAGCTGGCCCCTTTGGTGGCTATCATGCTATTATTATACAAGTGTTTGACTAAAAATGGAGCCACTTCAGCAGAAGGAAGAATGGAGAAGAGCCCTGGGTACTGTCTGTCTGATCACTTGGGTCCAGCCACACCTGAACTTCCACCGTGTCATTCTGTTTATGCAGGTGTTCTACTTGTATTCATCCAGCTTCAACCGCTTAGAACTTAGAGACCTAATCTTTCAACTGAGGGAAAGTATCCTTAAGTTGGGCAGCATGGCAAATGATACAAGAACTTCTATTTTTAAGATCTGCCAGGTGGTAGTGGCACACAATCCCAGCATTTAGGAGGCAGAGGCAGGCAGATCTCTGAGTTTGAGACCAGCCTGTGATGGGAGATGTCATTCTGTAAATATGTTTCTCATATTGGTTAATGAATAAAGCACAATTGGCCAATAGGAAAGCAAATAGGTGGGACTAGGAGACTAGGAGGGGAGAGGAAGTAATAGGGAGGAGAGTCAAGATGGAGGATGGAGAGAGAAGAACACCAGCCCCTCTCTCCGGTAAGATAAGACCACGTGGAAATACTTAGATTAATAGAAATGGGTTAATATTTAAGACAGAGCTAGCTGATAAGAAATTAGTAACTGGCCAACAAATTTATATCTAATACAGCATCTCTGTGTGTTAATCAGGGCTGGCACAGCGGTGGGACCAGACCTGCAGGGAAAAACTACTCTTAACAAGCCTGGTCTACAGAGGGAGTTTCAGGACAGCCGAAACCCCATCTCAGGGAAAAAAAAAAAAAAAAAAAGATTCAGGTCCTCAGGGCTGGAAAGATGACTCAGTGGTTAAGAGGAGCACTGGCTACTCTTCCAGAGGACCTGGGTTCAATTCCCATCACCCACACGGCATCTCACAAGAGTCTGTAACTTCAGTTCCATTGGATAAGACACTCTCATACAGACATATGTACAGGCAAAATATCAATGCACATAAAATAAAAATAAATGATTTAAAAGAGAGAGAGAGAGATTCTGCCCCTCAAAGGAAGCTGAGCCAATGAGATGGCTATTTGCAGGCCCCAAGCCATTACCACTCCAAGGTCATGAGACCATCCTGGAAGTACTCACCCTCCTTTCCTGCTGGGTCTCCTCCAGCTGGAGACCTGGTGACCCTTTGAGCGCTGTCAGCTCTCAGCCCCTCCTGAGGCCTCCTCGGGATCATCACATTGAGTCTGTCCCTGTTGGGGACCACCCTTGGCCTCTCAACAGTATCCCAGTCCTGCTGGGAGAGGAGAAAGCTTGTTGGAGAGAAGACCCCAGACCTGTATCCCAGCACGAAGGCTAGAAAAACAGGTTTTTAAGGGCACCTGCCACCTGAGTGAGGCTCTCAGCCAGTGATAACTCAGCAGACCTTCTGTCAGCCTTGAAAGAGAGGCACAGCCATTGAAATCAAAATCTGGGCCAAAGTCACAGATAGAAGAAAGCATTCAAATCCTAGGCCACTGCTTCCCAGCTGTGTGGTCTTAAGTGAGTTACTTCCCTGCTCTGAGCCTCAGTCCCTAACAGGGCCACAGAAGTCTCTAGCATAGAGGGTGGTGGAGGGCCTTGCTTGAATTCAGGCCCACTGAGACCTGTGCACGGTACCCACCACATGTGTCAACAGGCTAGGCTGTTTATGTGAAGTTCGTTCTTTCCTGTCATTTTCTTTTGGGGGGAGGGGGGAGGGTCTGAAGGGACAGGTCTGAAAGTGTGAAGGTATAGGGACAGCTTCCTGGCTCCTCTCTCCTGCTAGCTCCTGCCAGTTCCCAAACCTGTTACCTTCCTTCTCCTTTGGAAATCAACACCAGGACTGGTCATAGTCTCAGCAGCATGTAGCCAGGGCAGAGCTGGGCCCAGCCTCACGCTCGCTCTGGAAACCATGCCTATTTCCCGGCCCTGAGACCTGAGGCAGCTGGTGACTCATACAAAGTCCCTACTGGACTGAAATGCTTCCCTCCACCTGCCCACACTACCACCCACCCTGAGCCAGTCCAGAGATGCCCCACCCTTCCTCCCATCAGGGAAGGCAATTGGCCCAGCATTCTGCAGTGAGGCTCAGCCTTCCTCTGAAGGTTTAGAGGTCTTGTCTCTAGGGCTAAGGACACTGGATGACACTGTTTGTTCCCAGACCCTGGCCCTCAGCTCACCACAGAGGAAGAAATGCTGGTATCATGAGGGGTATTGCTGTCCTGGCTGGAGCTGGCGTCAGAGTTGGGTTCCTCCAGATAGGGTACCACCTCAGGGTCCTGGTGCCTGTTCTTTGGGGCAGTTGCAGGGCCCTCTGCAGGGAGAGCAGCTGTTGGGGACCAGCCTCTGGGAGAGGAGAGAGAACAATTATTTTCCCCTAAAAGGTAGCAGAGTCAAGGACTCAGTCCTGCCTGCCCTCCAGTACGTGTGGGTGTGTTCACACCATGCCAGGGTCTGTAGCAACAGAACAAGAAGCCAGAGCTGAGGGTATTTGGACTGGGCTGTCTATGGACCAGCCCCTAGAGCTACAAGAGGGTTCCACCGTACAGATGAAGAAACCCAGGCTCTGGGGGGGCTCAGGAGCCTGGGCAAGGCCACAGCCCTGGGAAAGGGCAGAGCCAAAGCACCCTTCAATGAGCAGGTATGGGGACACTGAGCCAGTTTGGCACATGAAGGGTGTTAAGCAGTGTGAGGGGAAGTGAGTTCCAAGGGAGGAGCTGTGGAAATAAATGCATAGGAAGCAGTTCCTATGGCCCCCACTCAAGAGGCTTACAGTGCATGGCATCCCAAAGTGACCCACACACAGGCCTATAAAATAGTATGGAGTGATGACACTATAAATGAAATCTATACTTAAGGAAATAGGAACATTCTGCACACATCCCGACCTTCATGCCTAAACCACACAATGCAGGTTTGCAAATCAAATGCTTCAACAAGTCCTACAGGAAATACATTGACTATCAGAGCCTCCTTTTTCTTTTTCTCCTAAAATAATGCCCACCTGAGGGGAACACATGCCCTCAAACAATTTGAGAATTTGTTCCAGCATCTCTTTCTAAAATTTATTTCTGCCATATTGAAAATCAAGCCCAGGATCTTAGGCACACTGCCTGTCACTGAGATACCCTCTCAGCCCATCTTGTTTCACAAACAGGAGAAGTGAGGCCTAAAAAGATAAACTAGCATGTGGGAAGTCCCACAGCCCATCACAGCAGATGTGAAACTGGGATCCAGCTCTCTGGACCCACAAGCCATGGCCTCCTAGGGTCTCAAGACCCCAGTAGGGAACTTGGGGCCCATAAAGGCTTAGACTGGAGGGAATCTCAAAGCCTGGGGACCCAGTCAAGACGGAGTAACAGTAGGTGACCTGGCTGATAGAACCATTCAATTTTTTTGGGGGGGGGATTTCAGGGAACAGAGCTATGTAACCCAAGCCAGCTTTGTGCTCCAAACCCTCTTCTTCCACTTCCTGAATGCTGGTATTACATCCATCTGCCACCACACCCAGCTCCTTCAGCCTTTTAAAACCGTACACAGGAACTAGAAGAAATACATAGCTATCCCCCACCTCACGGAATTATGGGATAGTCAGGGCCACCAGGAAAGTCAGCCAGGGCTAGGGTCAGAGACTCAGGTAAAACAAGGACGGACCAATGTGAGCTTTCCAGGGTTCCCCTGCCCCAAGGACTCCTGGAATACATCCACCATCAGAGCCCTCTGTGCCCAGACTTTGTGGGCTGGCTACATGACCCACACCAGCTGTTGTAGATGGGGACTGCCATCATGAAGAGTAGGGAAGGTATGGGTATCCCCCTCAGGGGTCCCGTCCCTGGAACCTGGAGTTCTACCCACCTCTGAGGCCCCTGCCTGAGACCAAGGCCTTCCACAGAGTGGCCAGCACAGCTGGTGGTGCCAAGTGGGTCCTCGGGGGCCAGTGGGCAGCAGGGCAGATCGCAGTAAGGTGGCTCGACACTAGAAGGGCTGTGAGGCTCCTGGGCCCCGCATTGGAGAGAGGAGACAGCTCAGGCCCACGTGGGACTCCCCTTCCTCCTCCTCCAGACAGTCCCTCCCAGCTCAGACTGGTGGATGTCTCCAGAAGTCATCTCCTGGCACCTCCCTGCTCAAGGAGACCAGCTATTCCATCAGCTGGCAATGCCCTGGGGACTGTGGTCAGAGTCAGCAGGGTACCTGGAGTACATATGCACACATGTGTACATGGATGTGTGTGTGTGTGTGTGTGTGTGTGTAAATACCTGTAGTTTGGGGGCACCCATGTGTACGTCATTATTGAGGGATATATGCCCAATTGCATGTGTACAGGCCTGTCAGCTATGCCGGCGCATATATGTGTTCAAGATTATGTAAACACGAATGTATGAGTGCATGCCTGAGAATGGGAACTGCATCAAAGGCCCCAGAGACCCTTGCATCCAGAAAACAAGAGGGAAAGAGCAAAATGGCCTGGCCTGGAATGGAAGAAGAGGTCTGAAAGTGGAGGGGCCAGTAAGAGCTAGAAGAAATGGAAGGTTCTGTCCCACTACAGGAGAGGCAGGGGCCCCAAAGAGGAGATCACAGCCCCCAAGCCAGAGGTGTGCCCTTGGCACTGTTCACAGCAAGGCCACACCTGGAAAGGCTGACACTGGGTTCAGCTAGAAGAAACAGCTGCTCCCCTCATAGAAGACCCCCCATTCCCTGCACCTCCCAGAATGGCAGGGCCCTCCCTTGGTGGTGGGAGACAGGGCCATGGCACCTTGTGCCCCGCCTCCTCTCGGGTTACCTGGGCATCAGACTCCCACAGTGGCAGCTGGCGGCTGTCAGCACCCTCGTTCCCGGGGGGCTCCGGCTCAGGCTCCCACACTGCTGCCCTCCCAGGCCCTGACTCTGGGCCGTGGTGGATGCAGTGCTCCAGGCAGCAGAAACCTTAGAGGGGCCAGCCTCGGGAGCAGGGCCCCTCATTACTGTTTCATAAGCCGGGGCCCAGCCAAGAACAATGCACGACATGAAACCAGAGGAACCCGATCCTGGCGGCTCACCTGAGAGCAGGCCTGATGGGAGTCTCCCTGGGGACCCTGGAGCCCGGAGACTGGGACAGCGGCTGTAGCCCAGGCAGTGCCCTGGGTGGGCAGGAGTGCTCTAGAATTTAAGAAAACCACAATGAGCAAGGCCAGGATGTGCTAGGGAAGGGCTAGGGGTCTGCAGCCATATCCAGGCCAAAGAGGGCCCATGAGGATTCAGTTTCACACCTGCCCCATAGCCAGATTCTGATCAAAGCCAGCTAGCCGGAGGTGTCAGATCCACAGCCCGGCCTGGCGCCTCAGCTACCCAGGGGACAGCATGGCAAGAAGGAGGGAACAGACTCTCAACCCAAGCCCTGTACTTCCAAAGACCCCACCCAGCATGAACCCAGGGGCTAATACGGCACCTAGTTCTTGCTTTCATCCTTAGCCCCACCCCTCCCTCTGTTCACATGACCATGTCCAGTAGTCAGTCCCCAGCTCTGATTTCCTGACTAGTCAGTGTCACAGTCTCTCCTATAACAGACCTGGGTCCCATCCCAGCTGGATGACCTCACTCGGTGGCTTCCCCTCTCTGGACCTTGCTGTCTATGAAAAGGAGGCATGGGGTGGCCAAGACCTTGGCTAGGTGACTTGGCCTCAATTGTGTCACCTATAAAGCTGTCATGATAACCACAGCCTCCCCTAGGGGACATGAGAAGAATTACATGAGGTGAAATTTGTCATAAGCACAAAAACCCAGCCTGAGCTACAAAGAGAGAGTTTGACCGAAAAGGGCAGGGAAAGGGTGGCGCTCATATAAAGGTCTGTGTGGCCCTAGTGTAAAGCAAGGCCCTTCCACACAACCTGTCCTCCCTCCCACCCAACCTATTCTCCCTCCCTCTCTCCAAACCTGGCCACAGCCTGCTCAATACCATGTGACTTTCAGGGCTCAGTTTCCACCAGCCACCAGCCTGTGGACTCAGGTGTGTCTGGAGCCCAGGGTTTTCAGAAGCTGAAGATAAAAAGAAAAATCATATGGCCAGCAGCTAATCATGTCCAATAGGCCATAGGGGACACTTTGTGATCAGAGCCATTTCTACAAAATCTAGAGCAGCTGAAACCATGAGCAGGGAAGCCTAGGCCATCCCCATCCCCTGTGGCAGATGTGGTGGGGGCCCAGCTAGGGGCTGCACTGCCCTAAACAAGCCAGTGATGCTTTTAAATATAGGCCTTTTTTGGGCTCCATGTGTCTGGATTGATACTAGAAGCAAATGGGGCCAAGATCCCAGAATCCTTTGGGGCAAGGTGGAACACTGGCCACATTTGGTTCCTTGGAGACACGTGATAAGAATGATCTGGAGAGACAGTGGACAGTATAGACAAAGCAAGCCAGGGACAGCAAGCACTCAAGGGCAGATGCTGGGTCTCTGGGAAAACAGAGACTCTGTCCACTGCCTCCTACCTAACCTCAGAGCATCATGGAATGGGATCCAGGGAGGCAGCCAGAAAGGTCCAGAAGAGGTAACTTGATAAGGGTCAGATAAAAACCTGATTTGTTAGCAATGTGGTGGTGGTGCACACTTTGAATGCCAAGACTCAGGAGAAAGAGACCGGCAGATCTCTGTGACTTCCAGGCCAGCCTTGTCTACAGAGCAAGTTCCAAGACAGCCAAGGAAACCCTGTCAAACCAAAACAAAAAACAACAAAACTCACAAAAAACAAACACTCCGACTTGTTCTATGTTATGTTGGGAATGGAAGTCATGGGCTAGTTTATGCTAGGCAATTGTCCTATTTCTGTGTTGCTGTGTCCCTAAACTAAGGTCAGGTGTGTGTATGTGTGTTAGGTATATATATGTGCATATGGACACTAGAGAGTGGCATTTCCACATTTATTTATTTATTTATTTATTTATTTATTTATTTATTTATTTATTTTAGACAAAGTCTCTGTAGCCTTGACTGGCTTGAAACTTACTATGCAGTTCAGGCTGGCCTTGAACTCTTCAAAGAGATCCACTTGCCTGTGCCTCCCAAGTTCTGGGATTTAAAGGTGTGGGTCACCATACACAGTTCTGTTTTATTTTTCTGCGTATGGTTGCTTGCCTACATGTCTGTATTGGCACCACAGGGTGAGAAAAAATATTGGATCCTCTGGAATTTGAGTTACAGATGGTTCTGAGCCTCCGTGTGGGTACTGGGAGCTGAATTCAGGTCCTCTGCAAGAGTGGCAAAATGCTCTTACCCACTTAGCTGTATCTCCAGACTGGCTTCAAACTCAGAGATCTACCTGCTTCTGCCTCCCGAGTGCTGGGATTAAAGGTGTGCTCCACACCACTGCCACCCAGCATCCTACTACGCTATTCTGAACCCAGAGCTCACCCATTTCATAAGGCTGCCTGGTAAACAAGTCAGTGGGATGACACTGTCTGTCTCCCAGCACTGTGCTATACAAATCACCATATCCAGTTCTTTTTGTTACTTATTTATTTATCTATTATCTATCTATCTATCTACCTACCTATCTATCTATCTATCTATCTATCTATCTATCTATCTATCTATTTTTGCTTTTGAAGACAGAGTTTCTTTGTGTAACAGCCCTGACTGCCCTGGAACTCACTTTGTAGACCAGGCTGTCTTCAAACTCACAGAGATTCTCCTGCCTCTGCCTCTCCAGTGCTGGGATTAAAGGTTTGTGCCAACACCATCCAGTTACACCTAGCTTTCTATGTGGGTGCTTGACTAGAACTCAGATCCTCAAGCTTGCTAGTGGACTAGGAGTTGATAAGACTGGGGATGGAGAGGAGAAGCCTGAGGCTAACGCCTAAGGTATGAGGTTCAGGGCACAGTGAGTGTGAGCAACCATAGGACACAGTAGAAATGGTCCAAGCTGCAGCTCAGTGCTAGACCATAGCAGGAGACAGATGCTTGGGAAATCTGACACCACAGACTTGCCTGCATCCACAGAGGGGTGTGGAATAAGAAAAGGTATTAGGTGAGGCTGAAATCACCTTGCATTTGAGTGCTGGGGCTAGATTTTTTTTTTTTTTTTTTTTTTTTTTGAGACAGGGTCTCTGTGTAGCCCTGGTTGTCCTGAAACTTGCTCTGTAGACCAGGCTAGCCTTTAACTCACAGAAATCCACCAGCCTCTCCCTGAGTGCTGGGATGAATCTTTATTTTTAATTTATTTATTATGTACAAAGTGTTTTTTCCTAAATGTATGACTGCATGTCATAAGAGATCACCAGATCTCATTATAGATGGTTGTGAGCTAACTACCATGAAGTTGCTGGGAATTGAACTCAGGGCCCCTAGAACAACAGTCAGTGTTCTTAACCTTTGAGCCATCTCTCTCCAGCCCCTTGGAATAGGTCTTACAGCATCATGTTTTAGTCCAAGTGCTCTTCACTGAACCACCTCTTTACCCATTAGCACTGTCCAGCTCCCAGTCAAGCTTTTAAAATATTTACAATTATATATATATATATATATATATATATATATATATATATATATATGGGTATGTGCATGTGGATATGTGTATGTGCATGGTCTGTGTGCAGGTGCCCATGGAAGCCAGAAGAGGGCATTAGATTCCCTAAAATGGAGGTTCAAGTGGCTGTAAGTTTCTGACATGGGGCTGGGGAACCAAACCAAACCTGAAAGAGCAAGTACTCTTAACCACTAACCCATCTCTCAGCACCAGTTGTTTCTTCTCTTTCTTTCTTTCTTTCTTTCTTTTTTTTTTTTTTTTTTTTTTTTTTTTTTTTTTTCAAGACAGGGTTTCTCTGTGGAGCCTGGTTCCTCTAGCTGTCCTGGAACTCACTCTGTATACCAGGCTGGCTTTGAATTCACAGAGATCCACCTGCCTCTGCCTCCTGAGTGCTAGGGTTAAAGTCATGCACCACCAACACCTGACTCCCAGCTTTTTTTAAAAACGTGTGTGTGTGTGTGTGTGTGTGTGCTTGTGTATATGTATGCATGTGTGTGAGTCAGAGGTCAGGTCTCACCTTTTACCATGTGAGTCCCAGGGATTGAACTCAGGTCAACAGACCTGAAACCTCCCTTACTCACTGAGTCACATTGCCAACCCCCAGTCAGTTTTTAATTTCAAGTAATAGGAGGCAAAGTTGGAGAGTTGGGGGTACACACCAACTGTGTGGCCCTCCTTCTCAGGAGGTTGGGGGGCCACTTCACTGCTCGAGAGGGACAGTGAGCTCAGATCCTGTTTGCTTCAGTGGTTACCTCAGCTTGTAAGCTCAGTGATAACTGCTCAGCTCTGGAGGATGGTCACAGAGGAAGCCAGAAGGACACAAGTCTCTGTGCATGGGATATGGTAATAAAAACTGACTCTGGGGCGGACAGTCCTTTGTCCCCATCTCAAGGCTACCACCAACTCTGGATCAAATGCATACCTGTAGCAACTCCACCTTTGTCCCTCATTTCCCTCTCTCCTCCCTCCTTCCACACTTTGCCCAGTAATCACAGCAACACTGAAAATGAAGATTGAATCACTCTAATCACTGTCTTGTTTACAATCCTTAGTGCCACTTCATGACAACTGAAATGCAATCTAAGGTCCTCAACATGTCTACTAAACCAAGCACATAAAGCCAGGTGAGAGCCAGGATCCACTCAATTCTCCACTCTCTATGTGGGTGGCTCTCCCTCTCAATGACCAATGAGTCACATTCACTTCATCCTTTCCGCCTCAAAACCTTTGTACACACCATACCGTTCCCTTCCCCTCTTCTTTTTCCTAGCTTCAATAGCAAGCCTTCATCAAGTTGCTAAAGGTCCTCAGAGAACTTTGCCGGTGGCCTGACAACCCTGTTCCTTCATAGCACCAATCACAGCTATTCTGAAACAGCCATTTCCCTGGTTCTTTTCTTCCTGCCCATGGCTTTGACTAGACCACCAGCCCCCTGGTGCCATTGATGTCACAGCTTCATTTAACATCACTGCCCTAGCAACCAGTGAAATACTGGCTCACTTCAAGAACTATTCATTCCAAATGACTACACAAGCTGACCCAAAATCTTGGTTTATACATATAAATAAATAAGTAAGTAAAAGACCTCCGGAAAATGGAAAAAGTGTAGGAATATTAACACAGTCTAAATGGCACACAGCTCAGGAGGAAGCAGCTCCTTCAACTGTAAGTTCATAGTCCAACCCATCATTGACCCCACATTCTGAACCACCTGCCACAGGGAAAGCCAGCCTACCTGGTATCTTGCTCCATGGACCTCC